ATAAAATAAATATCTAATATTGTCAGCCAGTAAGTTCTTTACTTTAGAATTTTACTTTCTCCTTTTCCCTACGGTACTGAAGTTACCACATATACCAGGAAAAGCTTCTCTTTTATATACTTTATTTCATGAAAGGCTAATATTACGAGCACAGTTTCAGTTCGTGTATTCCTGTTAGCTAAATGCAAACATCAAAGAATAATATCGAATATATTGGCAGGGAAATACACTGAGAGAATACGCCCTGGAGCGGACTTACAAATGCAATGTATTATTTTACTTTTTCATATCTAAAAAATATACAGGAGTCAAGAATTATACATTTTTTTCTCGTTTATTTGTTCATTTTACTCTCTTTTTGTTGATTTTCATCACCCTTTGTACCTAAACTTTAGACTGTGTTGTCGTGGTATTGAACTGGTTGCTGTCCATTAGCGCAACATGTTACTGGCATGTTAAGCCCTTTGTTTAAACAATTAGATTTTTATGAAACATTTCTTAGGATGCTAGATACTTTATCTCATCTCTATCAGCCGTCATATCTGAATCTACCCCCTTTCTATGCATGTCCTCTTTCACACAATCCATCCATACCTTTTTGGTCCTCCTCTAACTTTGTAGTCATCCAACATTTGTACTTTATCTTATTGCTATGTTTACTATATTATATTGAAAATGTTCTCTGGTTTTATATCATGATTAAAAACATACTTGTAGTGCATGTTGCAGAGTGGAGCGAATCGGTTCACTTCCCACATATTACAGTCATTCTGCGCCCGGCAATAACCCATTGTATACTACTTACTCGTGACACGAATGTTGTAGAGATATTATTAAACTCGCCGATATAAAAAACAACTAACTTTGAAATTTCTTTTTTTTAATCTTAATAATATTATATATGCGAATGTTTATATGGATTGATGTATGTTAGGAGGTATCTCCAGAATAGCTGCATGGATCTCGCTTTAATTTGGCATAGATGTAGAGCATAGTCTGGAAGAATACATAGGCTACAAAGTTTTTTTATTCCACGCGGACAGGGTCGTGGACGATAGCTAGTTATATGTACACTTTATTTTTAAAAGTATATACGATAATTTGATTTATATAGAATTTAGAAATTATATTATTTCAGATTCGACCATCTAATCGACTTTCTTCGACGACCTTTTTTGAACAAAATTTGGATTTATATTACATAAGCGTTTTCCATTCGACTATGTTAAAGTGTATTCAAAATCACAAAGAACTTTTTTTTGTTCAAAGTGAAATTTGACAATGTATAAAAATATTCATTGGATGCGCTTCTCCTTAACGTAATCAAACTAATTGAATTATAAGTGAAGCTATACATGTGAGGAACGTCCGCACAGAACATGTTGCGATGTGAACGAATATTATAGTATTTAAAGTGTTACAAAATGATCGGATATATAATAAGATTGAAGTTTTTAAGAATCAAAATAAATATTACAACAATTTTCATGGCTATAGTACATTTAGGTGTTCTCTACGTAATATTACATGCGTGGAATCATCATAAACATAAGTCGTTTTACATACATAGAGGTGTGAATCTATCAAAAGTGATTGTACATATAGATTTGAAAGGATCGCCACCGAAATTGGAATATCTGACGTCACTATTGCCGTTGTTAAAAGATGTTGGTGCAAATGGATTACTAATGGAATACGAAGATATGTTCCCATATAAAGGAGATATTAGTAATTTAAGCTCTAAATATTGTTATAAAGAAAATGAGGTATGTTATCATTAATTGTTGGTTATATTTACAATATTATATGTAGGTTATAGATGCGTTTTTTTACCTTAATTTGAGAGAAAAGTTAAACTCATATTTAACCCATTTTTCTTGGTATAATTCGTTATCTTTGTATTAATAGTACTTATAATTTATTACGTCGTACTGATCTATGAAACGTTGTCAAGTTTTACGCATTATTATATTATTATAAAATCTATTAATCATCTAGTGAATTTAAAAATGTATAAAAAATTGAACCGACCTGCAAGCAGTGTCTTAAGATTAAAAAAAAATCAAAACACCAGGCAGCCACGCTGTAATAAAAAATAAAGACGTATTGATAACCTCCTTTTTGATGTCGACTAAAAAGGTTTCATATCGTTAATTTTATTTACAGCTTAAGGAATTCATAAAGTACGCATGGGAGTCGGGTTTTGAGATAATGCCATTAGTACAAACTTTTGGTCATATGGAACATGCATTAAAATTGCAAGAATTCAAACATTTACGTGAAATTCCAATGTTCCCTGATTCTATCTGTCCTAGCAAGATGGAAAGCATGACTCTAATCAAAAACATGTTACAACAGGTTTGTAATTTTATAAAGATGTTTGCTTAATCTTTATTTCTAAGACTATTTCGAGAACTATAAGCACGGATTCTAATACCAAATGCTTCTAAATTAAATTCCATTTTTTTATTATTATCTCGACAGTTCCTTGCTTGCCTTCTGCTGCATCTCCCTACCACTTTTCTGGTACTTTGTCAACTAATTATTCGTTTCAAATTCGAGTAATTTCATGTATTTTTGTTGCTATTTATAGGTTATTCAATTCCATACAAGTGTGGTACCATTAAGATATATACATATAGGTTGTGATGAAGTGTACCATATAAATAAATGCGCAAAATGTCGTAGTCGGAGACAAAAAGAATTGTAAGTATAAGATCATGTATTCCTATAAGATTATACGTTTTAATTCCTTCATGAGTTAGTTCAAAATATAACTATATTATGTTAGGAAGAAAATGCAGCACTGTTTTTTTATATTATAAGGTGGCAAATGAGCGAGCGACCACCTGAAATCGCTGAAATAGCGAAGTGACCGTTGCCCATAGACATACGCAATTGCATATGCGTTGCCTACCTTTAATCGACGGAGAGGATGCACAGAAAGAAAAAATATTTTCCCTTTCCATGCATCCTCTCATCCGGAAAGTCCACTTCCACTTCCCATCCTTTTCTTATGAAAAATTGGGTAGGAACGGAAAGAGGACGAAATTAGGCCTCCGGGACGCACACTCATCAGACGCAACGCGGAATTGCTTCCACTTCACGCCTGTCTTCTGTGTGGTCGTGGTATATCACCGGGCGATTCGGGCCAAGTCGTGCGAAGATGTTAAAGCGGGCTCTACTAAGCGGGGTAAAAGAAATATTAGTAAATGTATAAAAATCTGGTAATATTTAAAAAAAAAGTAACAAAATTTTGTTATTTTGAATTCCAGAGACATTTATATGAGTCATTTACGAAGCGTAACTGAAATAGTAAAATTTTATAGTCCAAATGTGACTGTGCTATTTTGGGACGACATGCTTCGAGGTGTCGATTCTGATTATTGGAGTACGATGAAGATTATTAACGACGTTGAACCAGTTTGTTGGGATTATGCAACAAGGCTACACGTATCACATAGAAATTTATACAACTATCATAAGAAATTCAACAATATTTGGATAGCATCAGCATACAAAGGTGCGGAAGGAGTGACTGCTACATTACCAGATTTGTATAGTCGCTTTATGAATCATTTGGAATGGTTAAGATTTATATTTGATTATAAATTTGGAGGAGAAAGAAAATCTTACAATTTTAAAGGAATAATACTCACAGGATGGTCTAGGTATAGCCACATGGAACCATTATGTGAATTACTGCCCGCATCAATTCCCAGTTTAGTTATGAATTTGTTACTTATCAAACATTTTCAAAAAGAAACAAGCAAAGATATACACACAATTCCAGCTACAGAAGTATTCCATTTATACGTCAGAGATGACTTTAAGAAATATTTTCAATGTGAATATGCAGAATTAAATGAATTTGATAGTCATGCATGTCAATATAGAGAAAGTAAATTGTATAGTAGCCTAGAATATTTTATATATCAAAATGAAGATATTATAAGAAAAATAAATGATAATAAAAAAGGATTACATTCAATAGAATATTATAATAGAATTGATCATATGAATATGAATTCGGTTAAGTCAAAAATAATATGGGTAAATCAAAGTCTGCACGATTTTATGGCTATTGAAAGTAAGGTGTCGAAAGCGATGCTTGAATATCACAGCTCGTTCGTTGTTGTTGAATACGTACATTATAAATTTTACAATGAAAAGAAGAAACTTAAAAGTTTGTTAAAAATATTAAAGGATTATTATAAAATTCACACATGGCACAGGAAGTCCTATAAAAACTTTTTGAATTAAGGAATGAAATAATCATTTTATTAACCGTCATCAGCTCACTATACGTCCCCGTCGAGGGGCTCGGAGCCTACCCTGAGTTAAGGGTGATTAGACCATAGTAAACCACGCTGGCCAAGTGCGGGTTGGTTGGCTTCTCACATATTTTGGAATTTCTTCTCAGATATGTGCAGGTCGCATCATGATGTTTACCTTCACCGTAAGTACGTCGGATAAATGTACGTATGTATTTTATTACTAGGATTTAATAACTATTATTACTTGTATAAGACTCTTTTATGGATAAGTTTTAAGACTTAATGTAATTGTTGCTATATTCTGGGAGATTAACTACCATTTGCCTTGATATGAACTTTAAATATAGGATAGAATGTTTTATTAAAATAGCGAAGTGTTTTTTTATAATAAAGTTGTTTATTTAAACTTTAAATTCATAGATTACAACCACGATTAAGCGATAAAAATATCTTTTCCTAGGTTAATTTTAACACAATTTAATTAAGCTCAAAGACTTAAAAATCCTGTGTTGTCGGCAGCACATCATGTAATTGGATTCTCCGAATTAAAAACGAATCTCAAATATACCATTACTATACACAAAAAACAAACATTAGATTTTCTTTTTCTTCGAATCACTTTGTTATATTTTAAAATCTTTTTATTTAACTTTAAGTCTCTTTTAGTCATTTTATATTGCAATGTAAGAAATCTTTTTATTTATACTAAACACACTGCAAAAAGCACTTAATATAAAATGTTACATTATAATTAACAATATCACTTTTAACAAAAATATGTTATCCTAATAGCACCTTAAAGTCAGCTCTGATTTAAAAAAAATATCAAATTTTATCTGTTTTTACTGTCAATATCACTAGTATCGTTAATTTTAGCTTCTGTGATTGTTGTTCCAATTTTCGGTTTATGTATTGGTGCAATTTCTACAGGAGGAGGAGTAATCGGCACTAAGCTACCATCTTCTTCAGCAACTTTTAAACCAATAGTTGCTCCTAACTTAGCACTTGCTTGCTTAAACGTATCAGATAACTTAACTTGAACTACGTTAATACACATAGATGTTAAAGCTAATCCAAAAATTAAATACAAAATTGAAGCCATCATAAACATTGGATGATCTGGTACTAAATCACCGAGACCGATAGTTGACATCGATATAAAAACGAAATAAAACGATTCGAAGAAATCCCATTTCTCCCAAATATTAAACGCTAGAGCTCCAATGATGATATAAATAGCTAAAATTGTAATAGCTACTGAAATCGGCAGATTAAATTCGTCGTCTATTTCAAACACAGATGGCGCTGGTGTATCTGGATCTGTTGCATTTTCTAGATCAGGTCGTAATGTACCCGGCTTTGGTGGTAAAGGAGGAGGTACATCGCTGTCTTTTCTTTCAACCGGGGGTGGCTTGTTGTCTTCTGGTAGCTCGTCTATGTCCTCTTCGGAAAATATTTGTGAAGGGCGACGTACCACGTCGTATACAATGTTTAGGCCTTTAATTACCTCCTGTATAACATTTTTAAAATATTAGCCATCATAATTTCATCATAATTTGATACCGGCAAACTAAATCTATTATTTTGGATTACTTGCCTGCATCGGGACAGTCCTTCGAACTTTCTTGCAGCTTCTAGTATAATAAAATCTTCTAATAAAGGCCCAGAAGAACTTAATAATTCTCGTGAATAATTTACCAAAGTCGGCAAGCACAATCAAGAATAATGGAATTCCAATAATAGCATAGACTATGGTAGCCACTCGGCCATACGTCGTTTTTGGAGCTATGTGACCGTAACCTGTAACAGAAAAAACTAAAATAATAAAATGATAGATAACTTTTATTAAACAAATTAAAATTTATGTTGTTCCAAATAAAACACCGAGGGAAAAATCGTCAATTTATTTATCGGTGAAATAAAATTATTACAATATTTAAAACTCTTACCAATAGTTGTAATTAACGTCAGGCAATATACAAATGAATTCATAAAATTCCAAGACCTCTGCCCGCTGTATGACGTCACGCCTGCTTCGTGTGCTGTGTGTAATTGATTTTCGAATTCAAAGAGTTTATTTCTTGCCATTGATTTCCAATCTTCTTCCCGTAAATAGTGACTACCACGCCAAAGACTTTCGATGAAATCTCTTTTAACACTCCTACTTCCACATTTAAAAGCGTTTTCGAAAGATCCTTCCAGCATTTTGAACATCATACCTCCAAACCCACAAATAATTACTAAAAGTATCAATTCACAAATACACCTGTTTTTAAGTAATCTAATTTTTTCACATGCATCCTTTTGTTCTTCCTGAAACTGTTGCCAACGAGCCAAATGTTTCCATCTGCTTCTTGTTATCTTTTTGGGGATAGTAAGTTTTTCTTCTATGTTCGGTTCATGTTTAAATAATATTATTGGTTCTTCACTTAAATTGTTTGTATTTCTTTTTCTTAAAATAGATTTTTGCTCTCTAACATTTTCATTGTTATTTTGCAAAATATTACCAGTGTGTGTCAGACTAATGTTTCCTGTGGAATCTTTTTTGTCAACTTCTTCGCTCAAAAGATTTAGTTTACGAGTCAGTTCAGCTGTTCTTTCAGATAAATCAAATTCATATTCGTTTTCACTAGGTGAAGATGAATAGCAACTTGATGTATACTCAGATTGACTTGCGTCTATATATCCAGAACTGTGTCTACTCCTACTACCCTGAATAGAATCGGGCTTTTTCACCGAAGTAATTCCAGACAAAATTTCTTTATCGCTTATTATTTGTATTGTTTTGGGACAAGAAATACCTCTAGAGTGCCGTAAATTTGTTGGAGTTTTATTAGGTGTTTTTAAAACTCTATCATTATACTTCTTATACTCAGTTGGAAGTCTCGGATCATCTTTTGGTATCGACAAACTTCTAGCTCTTGCCTTTTGCATTAACTCTATAATTTCTAAACTAGTTTGGCTTATTCCTGTACCGGTTTTATCTATTGTCTTTCCGGTACTGTCTTGTGTTCTGTAAAATGATTGAGAGCGATTCGCTCTGGGAGATTTTATGAATCGACGAGGTGTAGGTGTGACTTTCCGCTTAGTGATATTATCAGAATACTTTTCTTGGTATAGTTGATCTTCACTCATTTCGCTTTCACTCGTCTTACTCTGTAAATTTTATTATTAATTAATAAGCATTAGTATATCTCTTTCCTAAATATTCTTTACACATTTTCATATCATTTTTGTTAAATAATATTGTAATACAATATTATTAACAAAATAAACATCAGAATCACAATTAATTTTAAGTAAAAACTGACCCCGAATCTTGATGCAGATTTGCTTCTTGCTGGTTTTACAGGTGGAATTTTACTTTTCGGTTCCTCTCTTGTTGGTTTTGAAGGAATTTGCTTCACAACAGATGGCTTCTGCTCTGCGGACAATTTTCTGCTAGGTGTCCTAACTACTCGTTCCCTTATTTCTACGACTGGTTTTTGATCTTGAGTTAATTTTTTACTAGGAGTTCTTTCTACCTGCATAACTCTGGTTATTAATTCACCGCTTGATGGAAGAGTTTCCGGCTTAGGTGGTTTAGTTTTTTGAGGTTGCGTGATTTTATCATCCTCAATTTTAATTTCATCTTTTTTTGGTGAGACTTTGGATTTAGTGCTCTTTTCTTGTGTTTTCATTTCATTAACCTCATCGGGGTATACCAATTCTTCTAATTTTTTGGGGGCTATAGGCATCGGATAAGGGAAATTCTTCTCACGTGGTGATGAACTGGCAGTTGTAGGTGGAGATAATGATCCTCGGTTTTCTTTTCTTGTTGCGTCCATAGAACTATGTTTAGTTGATTCGTCATCTTTAGGTCCCAAAGTATAGTTTGTAGTCAAAAGCTTATTCGTTGGATCAATAAAACTTCCCTTACGCTCTAGTGACGATGATTCTTCCTTATCCGGCACAGCAAAAGGTGATATACTCCTGCGTCGTCTCTCATTTGCAGCCATTGCTCGAGCTTCTAAGACTTCATCCCTATCTAAGTCATAAACGGGATCCTTTAAATTAGCTTTTTCCTGAACTAAACGCCTCATTTCTTCATAAGTTTTATCAGCTTCAATTTCTCTAGTATTTCGTGGATTGTTATCTTCGTCATCAGAAGTTGGTGTATCTTCGTGAGGGATTTGAGTGCGACTTGGCTCTGGGGTTTTTTCTCTTTGTCTCATTGCTTGTCCTCTATTTTTAGACAAGTTTCTCCTTTTTCTTAAAGACATAGATTCTCTGTCAGTATCGTCTTCCATATTTAATATTCCTTGCTGTTTACGATCTGGAGATTTCGATACTAATTTTCCTGGAGTCTGTGTTTGTGATGATGCTTTTGTAGAATTAATTTTGGTACTATCCAGTGGACTATCGTTTTCATTCATAACTTGATGTAAACTGCTCCTGAAAGATTAAAACAACGTATTAATGAAAACGAACAATTGTAATTGGATTAATCATAATATAGTTCTTATATGTAGTTTTTAAAATTGATGTCTTACAAATTCTGAAAGCGATGGATGTAATAGCTTAACAACTATTCAATATTCAGAACGTTAATAATGATAGCAAAAAACAGTTTCTTACCTTTTGTTATAGTCGCTTCGAGAATCTCTGTCTTTTCATCGGGGTTAACGTAAGATGTCTAATAAAAGAATCTATTTCGAACAATATCCACACTACACTTTTACGTAACACAACAATTGACACCACAGCCGTTTTCACATTAGTATATTCTTCAGATACCTTTATAATTTGTATTGGTTATGACATTATTAAGAATTACGCTTAAAACATTGAATCATTTTACTGTAAGAACGCTTTGGAACTGGCTAAAGTGCGACTAGTACGCTGGGCACGGTTCCAATTCTACCACGGCTACGTTCCGTTCAGATCGCGTATGTGTGTGCCGAAAATAAAAGCAAAATAAATTATTAAAACACTAGATATGTCGTTACGTCATCGATCACAAGATTGCTCTATCTAAATTAACAATCAAAATGTTGATTCTATGCCTCGGTAGTAAAGCATTGATGACCCAAAAACATCGAACCACCACGTTAGTTGGTTTTCATGTTAGTTCACATGATCCTGTATTTTCCTTAGAAACAGATTTTTGCTCTCTCTTATCTGCCGGTACGAGTATCAAATGATATATTTTACTTACTTAATTTTATTCATTAATTCTTGAAGAATAATACCTACTTTAACTAAGTAAAATGGTTCATTCTCGAAATGGATTTTTAAATTTGTAATTCCAGTCTCTCTAGGAGCGCCTAGTTCTATCTGGTGATCCATCTTACTTCATCTATCTCGAGTTAATGGTTCGGCTATTAGAAATCGCAGTGAAAATGGGAGAGCGAAGAAATGAAAAATTCTATTATCAAATTAGTTTCATTCGAGCCTGTGAAAAATGAATAGCAAGAGTAAACTTAAGCAAAATTGCTTTTTTGCTATCACAGTAGGTAGAGTGACATTAATATCTTATCTTTTAGATCTTAAATCATTTATTATTAAGTGATTATTATATTATAGTACATAGGTATTTGAAATTCACGAATACAAAAAAAAGTGTATCTTTCAGAAAAATAAACGTAAAAGATAAGCAAGTTAAAACAGTATTTTAATAAATCACTCTGAATGAAGCTTTCCAGTTCGGAGCGTTTGTTCTACTACGATATCTTTTTGCATACTGTAATCGAGTTTCGAGAATTTTCACAAAACACGTTATTTACGATGTTATGTAGATTTAAATCAATTGGATTGTTAATTTATAGATACAGCAGGAAGCTTATTTTTGCCTAAGAGTACTGACTTTAAGCACTTTAATTAATATTTTAATCTTACTAATATTATAAATGTGAAAGTTTGGATGAATGGATATTTGAAGGTATCTCCAGATGGTCTTGATGAAATGTGGCATGGATGATCATAGTTTGGCACACATAGGCTACTATTAAAGTGTATTTTTGATTCAGTTTGGATGTAGTCGCAGGAGACAGAGACAAGAATATTATAAATAAGTAGGTACTCAAAAAACTCACCAATAGTTGTAAAAATAGTTCCAGCGTAAAATACTGAATTCCAGAATGTCCAAGTATTCTTTACAGTATCATTGTCATTGAGATGTTTCATGCAGTCAGAGTAATTGTTCTCGTAATCTTTCAAATAAATTACTATTGATGCTATCGTATCCTGTAAGAAATAATTATTAAAAAAAATCCAGTGCTTAGTTACAAAAATAAATGTTTTCTTAGTTTTTTTATATTATAAGGTGGCAACGATCGAGCGGCCACTTGAAATCGCTGAAATAGCGAAGTGATCGTTGCCCACAGACATACGCAATCGCATATGCGTTGCCTATCTTTAACGACGGAGAGGATGCACAGAAAGAAAATATTTTCCCATTCCATACAACCTCTCATCCGGAAAGTTTTGTTTCGTCTGATTTGTGTGCTCGTCGAAAGCCAAATTTTAGTCTACGTTCTTGTTCCACAGTTTTATTATAAAGAAATGATAGGATGGAGAAATGGATTTGACGAAGTTTTATGCCAATCGTGGCACTTAAATGAAGTAGAAAGAAAGTCATGTGACTGAAGACTTGCCATTTTCTTTCTTATGTATTTAACTCAAGTATAATTAGTTGCGTTGTAAAATAAAATTTACCTCAAAAGCGGTTTTATTATTTGTAATACCAATAATTGTGATCGCTGCGTCTCTTCGGATTTGTGATAGCCTTTTGTCGTATTTCTGTTCACTTGAAGCTGAAAAAATAAAAAAATATTAGGTAAGCAATTTCATTTTTGTTTTTAACGCACTGACATCTGATGAAATATATATTTAAATTAGTCAAACTTTCGTGACACATCATAATAAACTGATATAAAAGTGAGCTGAGAGGCACGTCCGCGAAATAATACCAGTCCCACTCACCCTGGTGAAGGGCCCCCAATGGGCTCAAAACTGGTCGGTGCCGCCACCGGACGAATATACGTGAGTGTTTAGCCGTTTTTATACCAGAATGTATATTTATTTATTAACTTTGTATACTATGACCTAAGTAAATAAGATATTATACTATGAGTATTTTAACCTTATATAAAAGACTAGCTGTCACCCGCGACATCGTCCGCGGGAGAAAAAAACTTAATTAGTAGCCTTTGTGTTCTTGTAGACTATGTTCTATATCTATGCCAAATTTCAGCGAAATCCATGCAGCTGTTCCGGAGATACCTTCTAACAAACATCCATCCATCCATCCAAACATTCGCATTTATAATATTAGTAAGAATTAATTATGACTTGGTTTTACGTTTATCAAATAGTATATAAACATGGTTAATTTAATTAAAATAAAGTATAAGATTACTACAAAATATACTAACGTTTAACAAATTCGTTGAAAGCTAAAAAAAATAACATAAATAAGTTAGCTAGAGTTAACTTTGGTATTTATTCGAAGCGATTTGTAAACGTCGCCATAGCATTTGAAATGTTTATCGAGGCATTTCAAAACACGAACGCCCCGAGTCGGTTGGTGGAAATAACAAAGTGAAAAAATAAATGATTCGTAACTCCGACAGTCACACGCAACGTTGAAAAACCGAGTGACGAATGTAAACGAATTGGAAACTGTAAGTTAAATTATTATATAACTTAAGTAATAAATAAAGTGTTAAAAAAACGACACTGTAGACCTACAAGTATGTAATTTTAGACATTTATCAGTTACAATCCTTTGCCGCGAATGGCGCGCTTACATTACAATGTGTAAGAATGATTAGTGAGGGGACATAGATGTCGACATTATAGTAAGGCTAGTGTTGTGCCAGTACACCGGTACGGCGCAGTGTCGGATTTTCTTCCTAACAGTAAGAAGATATGTAATGTAGTCGATGTTGCCTAAAAATCGGTAAAACTATCCGGTCTGGTACGCAAAGATCCTTGTTGGACTTTAGCTTCTTGTTTTGTACATTTGCTCTTTACATAAATACTTCTTACTAATATTATAAATGAGAATGTTTGGTTATCTCTCATCCATCCGTGGATGGATGTTTGGATGAAGGTATCTCCAGAACAGCTGCATAGATCTCGCTGAAATTTGGCATAGATATAGAACATAGTCTCAAAGAACACATAGACTACTAATTAAGTTTTAGGAGTCACGGGCGACATCTAGTTTTCCATATTTTTTGTAAAAACTAAGTGCGATAATAGAACTACGCTCATCGGGTGAAATATGTATATCATTATTCAACAATCGTAGCTTCATTTATTAAAAAAGATGAGTACACAAACGTTGTTGACTCCGGGAAATGAGTGTCGTATGCCTGCCGAGGGCACGTATTGATTTTCTTTGTATTATCTGTAAGAACGGAGAGAATGAAAGGTACAACAGATAAAAAGATTTTGTTTTTGTTTTTGATTTGTTTGATTTCATTTTCAACTTCCGATTGTAAATTAAAACTTTCGTTTATTGTTTTCTACATATCGAATGTTTTAAATCCTAACAAGATTTATCAACTTGTCATTTTTACATAAGGAAAAAAATTATGGGTAGTTGAACCCAACATGCGTTTTATTACTAACATCAAGATTGCATCAAAGGTCCAAAAACTTAATGGGAATAAATATCATAATAAGTTTTATTAACAACAGATTCAATGTCTTTTCTACTTTGTTCTTCAGACTTTCAAAACATTTGTTAGGTGCTAAAGAAATTTACCGTGGGATTCTGGGAACTAGAGAGTTTGTCAAAGATTTCAGGAATTATACGTTTTATACAGAGTATCAACAGCTACTGAATTTTGTATCATACACCAAAACTTGTATTGATTTGTTGATAATATTAGTATTAAATAAAAAAAATCAGTGTTTGATATCCCAAATAAATATCAAACGTTTCTAAACAAATCAACATTCAAAAATATTTATCTATGTTTCGATTTGTTATGCAAATAGTTGAATAAAAAATACAATTTATTCAAAAAAAAATGATTTATAAATAGATGTACTGACAAAGTAAATATTTATACAAAACCGATTCACCGCGTCGAGTGTCGACAAACAATACTGAAATGTTGACCAAACACAAACTATGAATAATTTTTAAATGAAGTTTAAACATTGAACAAATATATTTACCATCAAAGAAGTAAGTGCGAATGTTTTATTTAAGTGTAAACATAAATCATACTTTCATCATCTTATCTTCTTCTACATATATATAAAAGCAAGTCGTGTTAGTTACACTATTTATAACTCAAGAACGGCTTTACTGATATGGCTGAAAATTGGTGAGGAGGTAGCTTAGAGTCAGGAGCAGACATAGGACACTATTTTTTTATCAAGCACTTGACTTGCAATCTGCAGGTCCTGGGTTCGAATTCCGCCGTGAACCAAGGTGTTTTTCGATTTCCGATTTACATATGTACATTTATCCGACGTTCTTACGGTGAAGAAAAACATCGTGATGCAACCTGCATATATCTGAGAAGATATTCAAAGATATGTGTGAAGTCAACCAACCAACACTTGGCCAGCGTGGTTGACTATGGCATAATCACCCTTAACTTAGGGTAGACTCCGAGCCCCTTGGTGGGGACGTATAGTGAACTGATGATAATGATGTTTCGAACAATGATCCGACAGTTAAATGTAAAGTCAAAGTTGCCAAACAATTACAGCAAGGAATTATCATAGCTTATCGCTCCATAAAATAAGCTAAGAGCCAAAAGAAAATGAAAATGAAGACAGCTGTCTCCAATTGAAATATCGGAGCGATAAGGGATTTCAAATTTAAAAAAAACTCTAACTTTTCTGAATAGATCGCGATATAATTTGTAACATGAAAGTTTAATACTTTAACAATATCTTATTCATTTAATTAATATTTAATATCTTTTTAGATTGATATTAATTTTATTTATTGAGTAAGAAATTGAGCAATTAATTTTAACTTTTATAAATACGTAAGTATTATTACTTGTTACGAAAAATATTAGTTTTGTATAGTCATAAAGAGTAAGTCTGACGTATTATATTTT